GACGAAAAAGGTCGTGATGCATCATACCGCATTGTGGCTGATCACCTAAGAGCGATTGTTATTGCCTTGAGTGACGGTGTTGAACCTAGCGCTGTTGACGCGGGGTAAGTAACCTTCATATCGCATTTGTATCTTTTTATTTTTTTTGCAAATAGTATCCGGTTTCTCTTCGCTTTTGTTAACTCTGAAAAATTTTCAATGTGAACCTAGGCGGTGACGGTTGATAGTTAGAAAATATCATGGAGACAGTATTTTTTCACAGAATCTGTTTTATGTGATTTTGGTTCGACTAGTTGTCTCCTGCGAAGTCATTCCTCTGCTTTCTTCAGGTTTGTAGTTCGTAAAATGATGCGGCGATCTTTTTGGCATGCCGCAAACAAGTTGAAGATTGACCGTTTTGCTTGTGCAGAATTAGTGCCTATCGTAGTAGAAACACTGGTAAGTCTAGAGTTCATTCTGGCTTAGATTTCCTGGTTATGATGTCATACAAAAATCGTTCAGAGATTAGCCTATCCCGATCTTGAAACCGCTGCTAAACGCATTGAGCAATGCGTGGCTGAGGAAGAGAAAAACTACTGGAGTGTGATAGATAAGGGAGAAGAAATGTTTGAAAAGATACGAGCGGATTTGCCGAAGGATGCGAAGGTCTTTCCCGGTTCGTGAGTTCGACTAAATATAATTTATTTTCGACTCGTTCTTTGTATATAAACTCGTTTTTACGACAATATCTAGGTGAGGATGCTTTTAAACTCCACGACACTCATGGCGTCCCCATAGAAATTACGGAAGATCTGAGTAGAGCGCATGGTTTGACTGTGGACAAAAAACGATTTCTGGAGCTGAAAGGAGCGGCAAAGGTCAGCAATTTCGGAATCATCCTTCATACTAACATGCTCATGACATTTAGGTTCTATCACAAAGCAAAAGCACGTTCAAGAAGGAGTCATCCTTGGATACTAGCGGTTTAAAATCTTCCGATAAGGTGAAGTACGACTACCATTTGGACCAAGATGGCAAATACGGTATTATCTTTGACTCTCAGCCTAATTTTTCTTTACTGTAGGACTTGTTTACAGTTTTCCCTCCGGAAACAACCAAAGTGCTTGCGCTATTTTGCAAGAATAATCGCGTCGATTCTTTGAAAACCGATGGATCCATAGTCCTTGAACACTGCCAGTTCTATGCGGAAGAAGGTGGACAGAAATGTGACAGAGGGTTTTTGGAGCTGGATGAGGTTTGTTCTATGAAGATTGTGCGAACTTCGATTCTTTGTCAGAGAAGCATTGCAGAAGCCAGTTTTCGAAGTTTCTGCGGTGGAGAAGATAAATGGCGTGCCTGTTTTGCATGGAAAAGTCGTTGGAGGCGCTAAATTGACGCGTGATATGATG